AAACATTGCACTAAAGGTTTTTAGAATTTAAAGTCACAGGTGATCTAATTTGCACAGAACTACAGATCAGTAGGGGATACTGGGGACCTCCCTGCCCAAGACGGGCTCACCTGGAACATGCCACGCAGGCCCTGTTGGGTTTTGAGCATCGCCCAACCTCTTTGTGCAGCCTCTGCTTGTGTTTGAACACCTTCATGGTGAGGAAGGGTTTTCTCTCATTTAAAAGCTATGTTCTGTGTTTTGCATGATTCCTGTTGTCTTTTGTCTCGTCACCTGACAGCCCTGAAAAGAGTCTGGTCCTATCTATTTTATTCCCTCTCTTCAGGGTATTTATAAACATCAAAAGATTACCCCAATCACACCTTCTCCAGGCTAGAAAGCCTTGAGAAAATCTGTCATCTTCTTAATAATAAAATCTGAAGTTTTCTTTATTTTCTTTTTTTTTTTTCCTTTTTTTTTCTCCAAAATCTGATCCATTCTATAAAAGAAATGGACAGGACAACTATTAGCCAGGTCATGTTCAATTTACCTTAAGGCAAGCAAAATGCAAAATGCAAATTAGCTTTCCAAGTTACACAAAACTGTAATTACTTCAATCTATCTGCCACAAAAAGTGTATATTTGTATTAAAATCTGGTACTTTCCTTTGAATTTGAGATTAAAATGCTAGTTTGTCATAAGAATCTGTAAATACCCTCCTTCTCTCTGTCAACTACTGTAACATATGCTAAAGTTTTTCTAGACTGCTGAGAGTTATATAATTTAATATGGCATTATTAACAACACACTGCTTTAATGGAAATAAACCAGTATGATTAGCAAAGTGGAACCACTGGAGGAATACCATATGTTTCTCTATCTCAACTACTGACATTTATTAAACAATTTTGTTGTATTACTCACTATATTTTCTTCAAAATTTGTGCTCGGATGCTGAAAAAAATGGCTTAACCTTTTTTCTAAGTTTGGCTTTCATAAACGTCCATAAATTTATATAGCTGCACAAAATTCACAACAGATTTTATTCAGCATGGCTTCACTAATTTAAGTACTTTTGCTGTTATCTATCACCGAGGCTACCAAAACTTCATCTCAACTCTTCTTGTTTAACACTGAATCGTGAAGAAATTGAGAAAAATAAACTTTTTCCTGATTAAAAAAAAAAAATCTAGAGTACTCTCCAAAGTACTAGTTTTAAATTTTCCAAAGAGCAATAGAGACAATTTAACACATCCTCTTGAAGACTGCACTAAACTAAATAATCACTAAGGTTTACAAGAAATATCGCCATACATATACAGTGGGTAAAACTTTTTCTTCTAAGAGAGAATTTATTCCAAACATACTTCAGTATCTGTGTTTAAAGGGCACAAAAATGCAGTTTGTCCTTTCACAATTTTATTCTCGATAGGACATATATTGGAAAATTTCTCAAAAAATTTAAGAAATCAAAATCCATTCTGGTGAGATTCTTTCTGTTCTATTATTGCTACACATTGACACAAGATACCGGCATTGAAATGAGTTGGAAAATAGCATGTAACTTTATCTGTGCTATATAAAAAAAGTAGGGAGCATTACATAGAACACATTTTTGTATACATATATTATGTACAATAAGGATGGCTTTCTTATACAAGACAACATACATTACTCATTTTATTGTAAAATAAAAACAGAGACAAAGCCACTGTGAGGATCATGGAAGACAGAAGTTATTGCTCTGGTTTTTTTTTGAACGCTTAAATTACTTGCACTTAATCCCATGAAGATTTTACATAGGGAAGGATATTAATATGAATTAGCTATTATATGAAAAAGGGAAAAAATGAAAAAAATCCTTGACGAACAAACTTGTCATTTACATAAACTAAGCAGACAAGTGTTCATTTACTATATATATCTAGAAAATGGAGGCCTTATTTTAACATGAAGATTCCTCCATGGCTAGACAGAAAGTAGATACAACTAACATTGGACTGCTTTTCTTTTTTTGATGATGAACTGTACAGATTCAACAAGAATAAAACTGGAATAGAAAAAAAATTCTATTTTTTTCCAGTCTCTGTTTTATTGTAGTTACTCCTATTTTCTACATATACGGACTTTTAGAGATTTTAACAATTCTTCTATATGCATGGACCTACTTCATAGGACTCCATATGCATGGACCTACATTACTGCATCTACCACCAAACAACATATTTGTTTTTCAGAAAGAACATATTATCATACTGAACTGCTGTATTTCATCTGACAGTAAGCCAACAGTAACAACTGATTTTCCCAAGTGGATTTCTTTTGTTTGAACAGCTAATCCCTAAGACAACACAAATTAGAAAACAAAGTGGACATTGTTTTATTAATCAATTTGGCATTCCTGGTATCATATTCATCTTTATGTATCACTGAAACTCTTTTCTGGTCTGCAAATGGACCATTTTCCCTTTTAAAAATGAAATTTAGCTTTGAACATGAAGCATACAGACACTGTACTTACTATATAGGTCAGCAGTAGTTTATAAAAAATGCATCTGAAAGATCAGCTCACGTTAAGCTTTTAATTCTAGTGTGATTATCTTACATTTCTGAAATAGATTACAAAAACGAGGTATATCTGAACAACATTCTGGCACTACTGCTTTTCAAATCTGATTCTTTAAAAACATTTAATACTGGAAACTATCCTTCCAAAGTACTTTCTTCAGCAACCAATTAATAAGGCAGAAAAGCAGATAAAACTAAACACATAAATCCAAAAAAATGACTATGAGATGTTTCTACTTATATCTAAATAAATAGTGCAAGAGTGACAATGTTGTCATAAAAATCTCACATTTCCCACTCCATCTGTCCCTTCCTCCCATTTATACTTTGGATTTTACTCATGATGGGGGCTGCTACATGTCCACTTCATTCCAAGGAAGCTACTAACATGCTATTCCAAAGGCTGAGTTGTTCAAAGTAGTGGGAGTTTTAATTATTCATATGGTAGCTACAGGACTTCCAAGTCTCCACTTCTAATTATTTTCTTTGTAATTATCCCTAATCACAGCCCTGGAATCACACAAATTATGAAGCAAGCAGTTTCCTGCAGTGGAAGAAAGTCAGCATGTACTTTCTTCTGAAGCTTTTAAAACTGAAATCTCCTCCTCACTAAAAAGCATCCTGTGCTGATTTCCACAAAACTTTTCCAGCCCAGATCATTCCCATACTATCTTTCAAATTCAAAGGCAGTCAAAGAATGATTTGGACACTTTCAAAATACATCTGAAGTAAACAAGGGAAAGAAATAATGTCTCATTTCAGGTCCAGGAGAAAATATTCATGAGGAATAGAATGGGCTGCCATTTTTTGATAGAATGTGAATTAAATAACTCAGATTAAGTAAAACAATCCTCTCATCCAAATGAAAAGAAACATATTGAATTTGCTGGGGATTTGGGAGGATAAATTCCAGGATGGTATTTCAGAGAGAACACACATGAGATATCTACTCACAACATACTAATAAAGTGGATGGAGAGTGATAGAATCGCTTTCAGCTTGGTGGTTTGCCAGATTTTAAGCAAGGATATAAAGCTGTCCTACATCTCAAATTAATGCCCTAGACTCCAGTTTATACAGCTGGTCTTTCTGTAGGTCACTGGAAATTTAATTATGTCCACAGAAATCAAAAGAAAAAAAACCCATAAACATATGTGGACAAAGAGACTTTTTCTCTATCCCTCTTTCAAACCGCAGGAAAGATCATCTCTTCTGTTTTCCACTCCCTTATGTTACACTGAAATGACAGTGAAATAGGTGAAATCATTGGTGATTTTGCGATAATACCGCCTGCAAAAATGATAGACCTACCTCAAGCTTTCTGATAGGTACTTAGGAAAAAAAAAAAAAAAAAAACAGAGCTGCTAATGCCAAATATAGCTGACAAAGGGCTATAATTTTCTTTTAATTTCAGGAAGCTAAGCCATTTTCTTTTTATAGCAAAACGAAAGGACTGAGTTCTTCCGGGGGAAAGAAATTTCAGTTAAAAACATTCTTTTTAACTGCTACATCCATCAAACTAGCATAGTTTGAAAAATTAAAATTATAAAATAATTGTAAATGTATCTGATAAACATGAAAAAGCAAGGAGATAGACACATAAATGCAGCTTAATGCTTAGTGCACCTCTATGTACCATACAGGAATATTTGCAGAAGTTCTGACTACTTCTGGGCCATGTTATGCTAAGCACCAGAAACAGTACAGTTTTGCCAGCTGTCAGCACCAAGCAGCAGGATTTGTCAGCTCAGGAACACTGCTATGTTCATGTAGCTATGCAGCTTATGAAATTCTGCCATGTTCAGCACCATGTACAAGACACATACAGCTGCACATATATCTCCTTACTAATCAAAATCCATCTAAATCTCATTTAAAGCTAGTGGTTGTTCTTGGACAGATATCTCCAAAGTCTTGTACCTACCTAATAAACACTAGATGGAAAATCTTGATGAAACCAAAAAGTCAGAATTTAGGCTTTTAGGCTTTGAGAGAGATTTATGGTTTTATTTTAAAAATGAACTTCTTTTTTGTGGGGGAGGAGGCAATGTTAGTTAAACACTGCAGTTGCAACAAAAATAAAAATTTTAAACTTACCTGAAAACACTGTGAAAATCTCCGGTCTCTACCATATTTTCAAAAGCTGAGCAATACTGGCTTTGTCATGAACTATGTCAGCAGACTGGGATTTCTGCTGGAAAGTACAGCAGCGCTAAAATGGAAGAGCTTACCATGACAGAAAGCTAAAAACTATTTGAAGTTTCAATTTTCAAATTAAAAAAAGAAATACCTATGATGTATTATTATGTATTCCCTTACGCAACTCTGAATAGAAATGTTGTATCTTGAAGCATACAAACTTGTTATGCAACTATCAATCCACTAAAAAACTTGAGTCAGAAAAGAGGCATTAGCAGAAAGCGTGGTGCCCGCTGAAATTTAGCTTGTCATACCTTCATATTAGATGCTTCAGTTTCCAGTTTTGTTAGGTGATTTGAGTTGTCCTCAAGCTCTTGTCGAAGGTTGGAGTTTTCCATCTTTAATGCCTCAACTTGCTTTAACAACTGATCATATGAAGCTGCAGCCATCCTGGGCTACCCTCAACCCTAGAAAAGTAACAGACAATACAAAAAATAATCATTTTCACAAAAACTTATTGAAAAAATGAAGTAATTTCTTACTTTTTTTTCCCTTAACCACTCATTATTCTAAACATTCAATGCAAATCCATTAAATAAAGCTATTAATGCCTAGAACTAATGCTATTTCAAAGCATTTTTCACTAATCTTCCATTTGGTACACATGGTTCAAGAAAGAAGTTGAGAGCAATTGCTTCAGGTATTAGGGAAAGCTAGAATTCATGAGGGAAAAATCATGCCATCACACAAAAGCATTGCTCAAATTAGAACTTCAATTCTAACAACAAAAAAATAAGGAAATAATAGACCATATAAAACCATCTTGGAATAGTCAACAAGCACTGGGAAGCTTATCTATAAGAAGCTGACTGACTGCCCACATATTTTATGACATGGAAGATAGCTGCAGATGCCCAGCACTCCTTGGAATAACACACATTAGCAGAAATGTTGTGTGAAAACAAAACAGTAAGAACTGAGCAGTTCTAACAGAATAAAAGCATCAAAAGCAATCAATCTTTAAGACTAGGAGTTTTGTAAGAGACTTAAAAAAAGTGGTTACATTGCACAGTAGGGAAAAAAAACAGATAGAAACCTTTTTGTAATATCAGGGATATTCCACATTGAAAATGCAAAAAAAACCCAGAAGTTAGGGGAGCTTTGTTACATAAAAGCTATGGAATTAAAAAAAAAATCAAATAGTTTTATAGTAATTTTGTCAGTAGTCTGCATTTTCACTGATACTTATTTTGAGAAATATTCTAACAGTGCTAAACCACCACAACTATTCAGCCATTACAAAATGTCATGAAATAAATACTGTAACTTAAACGATAAAATTAAAATTATTTCCCGCTTTCCAAATCCTCACACCATTGGAGCCTGCATCTAAAAAATGTTACGCAAGATGATGAAAACTTGGCCAATTACATTTGCCGCAATTTACAGTTGAAGCCCTCAATTTCTTATTCATTAATCATTTGAGAGACAAACAGCAAGCCAAACAAATTTCACTAAGAATTTACTGAGCAAGTAGAAGATCTGTAACTCACAGAAGGAAAACATAAAGAGCATACAGGATAATATTGCATTTTCACCACTACTTCGCTCCTTTAGAAATGCTCTAAAATGTAAAGTTAGACTTCCATCAGAACATTTTTTGTTCTCCTGGAGCACACTGCAAGTGCAGGCCGCAGGCTGCCTGGAGGAGGCAGCTGAGGGCGCAGCAGCCGCTCTGCACCGCTCACCATCACTCCGACCTCTGCAATTACAAAGCCAAGAAGTGCCTGAGCAACCAATTTTACTTTCCATGATCCCTCTTAACTGAATTATCAGGGTAATTAAAGAGAAGGCAACATTAGTCCAGCAGCTGGACTTCGTTCACCTACATAAAATCTGAAAATTATGCTCAAATCTCATTTATGCTCAAATGTTAAAGACAATCTGAGCAAATATATATATATTTAAAGATGATAACAATAATAAAAGCTATACTGCATTTGGTGCTTTGAGTTCACACCCTTCTCAAGCAATGGATCTTCACATCCTAATCATCTCTCATCTTTAAAGAACAAGCAAGAAGCTGCCATTTGTGGAACAGTGAGTTCTGTGATAGTATGAATGAGCTAAAGAAAAAAAATCCTCATTAAGTTTTTATGTGACATAACATACTTACGATAGACCAGAGACTCCAATTTCAAAGAAAGCATGGCAACCTGAGACAACCATGCTATTCTATTTCATGGATTGTGTGCCTTTATCATCAGCTGGTTCCAACCCACTACTGTCAAAGAGTGCTTTAATGAAAAAAAAAAAGTAGTACACTGTGCTCTATTCATTTGCTAAGTATTAATTTGCCACTCCAAAGAAAATAAATCAGCTGTAATTTACGTTTCTTTTCAGTATGAAGACTACATGGACAATGCTGCAAAATCCCGAGCAAAGGTATGTAACTTTAAAATGTTTTTACTACAACTTGTGGTGAAGAGCATCATACTGTATTAGTGATAGCATCTGCTATTTATAAGAGACGATGAGACTGTACTCATAGGAACACAGGAGGTAATTAATTAATGTTCATTTGCTGCTGCTCTGACACGTTGGAAATACAGCTCAATTATATCCCACATTTATTCACTTGCGTCATACTGACAGAGGCTGCTGTTCACTGTGTTTGACACGCATGCCAGTTTCCACCAGTTTATCTTTTTCTTACATTATGCAAACCAGGGATAAATAAGAATGGACAAGTAAGGACTGATCTGTCAGATTCTTTCACTTTCTGACTAATCTGAGAAATTCTCATTCATGCACATGGAGAGAAAATAATTTGTCACATTAACAAAATCCATACATGCAAAGAAGAAAATGGAGAAAAATGAGTGAAGAGAGAACCTACATTACAGCAGCAACTGTGGCTGCAATTGGGTGGCTTCAATTTTTAAGTGAAAGCAAACTTAAATATAGTTTGCTTAAATAAATATAATATATATATATATATAATAAATATATAATTAAATAGTAAGATTCTAGTTATGGAAGGGGTCTTGGTGAAACTTTTAAATAATACATCTTACATAAAGTGTCTATCACCTCTCTGCAAAACCAAGCTTAAGGCAGTATTTAAAAAAAAAAAATTATTCATAATGTATCCAGTATTTTAAAAATCACAATTTTTTCCTTAAAGAAGTGTGCTTCTCCTCTCCCTCAAAATGCATCAAATTTCTCTTAGTTGAAGAGAAATTGAACCATACACTGAATGGTTTCAAATAAGTGAAATTAATGGCACATTTGCCAAACTGTTAATTTCAATTAATTTGATAAGACTCAGCAAAATTCATGATTGGCTTTAGGCAATGCCATCTGTTGTTCAACATATGAAAACTGGAAGCAAGATCTCAAAAATATGAAGAAAAGTATGTTAATATATTGATTTCATCATCTTTCTCTCTTGATCTGAGTTCCTAGCATCTCCTTCCTTTCATGGAATATATATATTTATTATAATATAATATATTCATTATATATTTTTAAATATATATTTAAATTTAATTTATATATATATAAATTTAGTAATATGGAATGAGACCGTGTTCGACCTTAGACTAGGAGTCAATTACAGATTTAGTCAGATGTCGAATATTACTATAACAAAAGCAGCATTCAGATAAAGAACAACTGAGATCAGGTCACTGCTAGAAGCCAGGTAACCCAAGAACATCCTTAATTTTTATTAAACAACAGATGCTGTCCATGTTTACAACCAACTACAGTTTTCACAGTTAGAAGGGAAATTCAATCCTCAAGAATATTTTGAATGTAGCTTTAGGATAGCACGTTATTTTACCCTCCATTAGTGTTAAATTCAATTTTCTTGTGTATTCTTATTACAGAAGAAACCCCAAAGATAATTAAAAAGCACATGTGTTTGTTCATGGAATCACTCATTATTATCAATACCTTTATATCACAAAATGCAGATTTTGCATAAGATAACATGTATATCCCAAAAAGTTATGACTCTTTTGGTAATCCAAAATTTCCAAACCAAAAATAGGACTAGTTTGAATGTCTTATTACCGAATTTAGAATTCAGAATACAAACATTAACAAGTATCTCATTTTTACATTTCAAACCACTCATAAGCTGCAGAAACAGAAGGAGAGATAAATGAGGAAGACTAATGAAGTCATTTGGGAGAATTTAGCAAAGTATTTCAGAACTCTGTATGGTGACACAAATTACTCAAGAGAAATCCTTAGAGATTCAGTATGGTCAGCATTTCTGCAAAAGCACAAGACAATTTTAGTAACAGATAAAAACACCGAATAAAAAAAAGGGCTTCCAAGGCTGGTGATGACAAACTGAAAGATGCTGCAACACATTCCCCGGCTACCTGAAGCCAGTCTGAACATCTAGAGCTGGCAGAGAAAACACAAGCACAGGAGCTCTATTTCTAATTATTCTTTGTCATTTTCAATGTGTGCAGTTCCAGCACTTGCCACTTGTAAAATCCACTACAGCTATGATAGAGATTAGTAGAAAAGTGCCAATAATTAAAGAATAAAGACAAGATGCCACTAGGTTGTGCTGAAATTAGATTTGTTTGGTTGGGCATAGATTATTAGTCAAGTTCCCGCAGAACTACTTTGTGACAGATATTACTCAATATTTCATTATCGACATTGGCACTTAGAAGTGGCAACAAAGCTTGACATCATAAATACAGGAAGTATCATGAGATCAGAGGCCTGGAACACAGTATACAAAGAATATGACAACCCAAAGAAGGGAGCAGTAGAAACAGTATAAAATTAAGGAACATGAAATACAAGGTTGTTGATTTAGGAATCCCTAACAAGACCTAAGCCTACTGGCTGGTATGTTGTAATTGGAAGTAATAAGCAGAGAGAAGACTAACTTGGACCTTACCAGTCAGCCAACAACCACAATCAACCTGATTCAAACATAGGGAAAGCAAACATAATCCCTGGAGCTAGCAGGTCATTTTATAAGATATAAGTAACATCTGAACAAGGACACTATGCACAGCTTTGGTGAACTATCCTGAGGAAAGAGAATGTAAGTGGGCGCACAGGAAGATGTTAAGTAAACAAAAGAAATAGAGGCACTCATATAAGAAGAGACTAGCTGAGCAAGACATTGCTGCTTCAGTAAAACAAAGGCTGGAAGGACATAACTACATCTTACAAATACTATTACAGAAGCAAAAAACACCTAAGGAGAAAAATATTTGTATTAAAATGCAGTACTGACATGGAACAAATGGGTATGGACAGATCATGTTCATGACCACCGATACAGCCATTCAGTGCTGGACACTGTGGCACCTTTCAGCACTTGGTTTGCAGACTGCAATCCCAAGGTTCAGAGACATCCACTAGCTGTCCCACCTTCTCTGGGTAGACTCTAAGAAATAAATTTATTTGAACAACCACTTGGAGC